GCAGCCCCTGGCTGGGGGGCGGATCTGAGCTCTCAGACCTGGCACAAGCTGGAACTGAGCCGGGCTGCCTGCCTGGCTCCTAATACACTTGAAATGCAGCGCCGCAGCCGGGGTAGGGCCTGGGCCTGGTGCACACCAGCACTGAGCCCGGCTGCTGGCCAGCCTGCTAAAAAATGTACTGGTAAGGGGAAAGAAGAAATGTGTGTAGTCTGTAGCATTAACCTATAAGCTTTTGCTTCAGGTTAATCGGTTAATCCAGTGGTTCCCAACTGCTGGGCCATGGACTGCTGCCAGGCCGCGACCCGCTGCTTGCAGGGGTGCTGCAGCTGCCAAAGATGTGCCAGGAGAAGGCACGAGGAGGTTGGCCAGGCCCGTCTCGTTGGAGCCGGTCGCTTGGCCTGGAGCATCCTAACGCTGAACGTTCTGCGCTGTCCCTCAGCGAGCGACGGCGCCAGGCAGCCGACCCGCGAGCGCGTGGTTCTTTCAGCAGCCCTTGCAGGACTGCCCCCGCCCGTGCGCCGCTCTGAGTGTGGATTAGGCTGGGTTGGGGGCCTGGCTGGCTCATGTTCTGGAACTTGTCAGCTCCCGGTCGCTTGGCCTGGAGCATCCTAACGCTGAACGTTCTGCGCTGTCCCTCAGCGAGCGACGGCGCCAGGCAGCCGACCCGCGAGCGCGTGGTTCTTTCAGCAGCCCTTGCAGGACTGCCCCCGCCCGTGCGCCGCTCTGAGTGTGGATTAGGCTGGGTTGGGGGCCTGGCTGGCTCATGTTCTGGAACTTGTCAGCTCCCCCCTCTCACCTAACCCGTAGGTCCCTGGTTCACACCAAGCCCGGCCCCCACAGTAGGCCACACAGTCCACAGCACCTCTCCAGTGAGTCCCCTACCCTAGAGCCACGCCGAGGTGAGGGGGAAATCTCGCTCCCCTGGGGTACAGAGCCCCCAGAAGGGTTCGAGGCCGGAGGTCAAATCAGTGAGGCAGGAAAGAAACTTAGAAGAGAAAACTTTATGATGCATGCATGCAGGCTGTCACTTCCAAGAGTGAAGCAGCAGCCCTGACAGACAGATTCAGGTATCCTTTATACAGAATGCTTAGACAGCTCAGTTGTGGATTGTTCTTCTTTAACATATCAAAGTCTCAGCAGAAGTACTTTGAGACTTCTGTTCACCCCAGGAGTGCTAGAAGTAAGTTTTTACAGTACACAAAGCCACATGAGAACTTGAGTGGAGGAGTCTACAAGGCAAACTGTGACAAAGATAAGGGTTTACATGACAAATTGTGACAGACTAGGAGTATCCATGAATTTGAGATAGTCATTTGTAAGGGTCTTTGATTAGAGCTAATTTGATTTCTCTCTGTTACAGGGAGAGAGGCCTGGAAAACTTTTTAACCCTTACAGCAGTTTTCTTTTAGAAAGTTATGATTTCTGCACAGTCCCCCCTTAGACACAATTGGAGTTATTTGATTTTCCCCACAGAGCTAATTTGATTTCTCTCTGTTACAGGGAGAGAGGCCTGGAAAACTTTTTAACCCTTACAGCAGTTTTCTTTTAGAAAGTTATGATTTCTGCACAGTCTCCCCTTAGACACAATTGGAGTTATTTGATTTTTCTCCCACAATTCCCCCCTTTAATACTCCTATTGGAGTATTACTCAAAGTTATTTTAGACATTCTTAAGTATTCTTCTTTTGCTAGGATGAATTCTTATCTTAGAGGGAGGTTTTCTTTATCAGTTGGGTAAATGATCCACTGCCCATTCACCCCCAGATCTTTACCAGTGCCAATATTGCTTTTAAAACATAAGGGAAACATAAGGGAAGCATTCCCTGATGGATGTAATGCTTGAGTAAGGGGAATCCCTGAGGCAATCAGATTTTTATGCCAAATCTGCCTGTTCCCCCCCATGACTATGTACTTCTGGCACAGTGTTATCATTCTGGGCATCTACCCACTCCCGCTCTCCTGTAGAGTACTGACTACCAGTAGATCTGAATTTTAGGGGTCTGGTCCACAGGGAGGCAGGAGTTGGGATAAACTGTAATGGTAAAAGGCCTTCAGAGCCTATTATAAGCTGTTCACATATCCAACAGTCACTTGTATCACTTGTATTGGTGAGGGACACAACCTTTTGCAGGGCTTCCCAATAAGGGTGGGGAAAGTTATATACTAAGGCTATTCTGACTACTAAAAGAAGGAAAACAATCCCCATCTTATTATAGTATCTTAAGTCTCTAAAGTAGAAAGGATAATAATAATATAGTAATTATCTAGCAACTAGCAAAGCAGTCTTTTAACTAAACTTAATCAGTTAGTATTGTTTGGCTTGCCTCTGCAGGCACTCTTCGAGATTTCGTAGTCTCTTAGTTCACTCAATACTGGAATGGCTT